GTCAGAACACTAATTTCTGGAGGGCAGAACCGCGCATAGCTTTTCGTTTCGTAAAGAACAACAATGGCTGAACAGAGAGAGAGGTATGGACGACTGCCAGGAACCGAGAGAAGAGGAGGAGGGGGTAGAGGGGAGGGGAAGGGGAGGGAGGGAAGGAGGGAGGGAGGGAGAAGGGTGGAGAGAGGGAGGGAGGGGAAAAAGGAGGGAGGACGAAAGGGAGAGGGAAGAGGAGGCGGAAGAGGAGAGAGGGGAGGGTAGAGGAGGGAGGGGGTAGAGGAGGCGGAAGAGGAGGGAGGGGAGGGTGGAGGAGGGAGGGGGAGGGGGAAGGGGATGGAGGGAGGGGGAAGAGGAGGGTAGGGGAGAGAGGGAGAGGAAAGGGAGGGAGGGTACCGAGGGTGGGGAGGGTAGAGGAGGGAGGGAGGGGGAAGAGGAGGAAGCGAGAGGGAAGGGAGGGTAGCGAGGGGGGGAGGGGGGGATGGAATGAGGGTGGGGAGCGAGGATGGGGAAGCTAATGATGCGAGGAGAAGCGGAGAGGATGGGAAGAAAGAAGAAGAAAGGACGCAGGATAAAATAATAATGATAATAATAATAATAATAATAACAATAATAATAATAATAATAATAATAATAATAATAATAATAATAAAATAGGGAAAGGAGAGGCTAGGAAGAGGAGAAAAGGGAGGGGGAAAGAATAAGGGGAAGTTGGGGAAGGGATAGGCTGGGAGAGGAGGAATTGGGGAATGAGAGAGTGTGGGATTTCGAGAAAGGGAGAGTGAAGGGAAAGGGAGAGGTATGGCTGAGAATAAGGATATTTCGAAAAAAAAAAAAAATAGTGGATATATTTAGAGTGAATTATGAATGCATATTAGGGGAAAATTCGGGCAAGGGATGAGGTATAAGGTAGTGTCAGGGGGGTGGGGGGGGGTGGATGATAAGACAAACCAGACCATATAATACACATCCCAAGGAACACATTAGCTGCTCTTATGCGATAACTCGTACACATATACACACATTAGTTCTCGATAGGCCTATGCGGCATTCTTATAAAAGGCCAGAGGGTCTTTTTCCCTCTCTCCTGCGGGGAAAAGCTTTTTAGGCCGAGGAAATACATACAAACCCTAACTGGTCTGCACAGCTGTTTTTAGGCCTGCATGTCAAATTTCCTCCCCCTCTGTCTGTCTGTCTAATTGTCCGTATCTCTGCCTCTTTTTCTATCTGTCTGTCTGTGTTTATATCTCTGTCACTGATGATGATGATGTCTCTGTGTCTTTGTCTCTCTCTGTCTGTCTGTCTGTTTCTCTCTCTCTCTCTCTCTCTCTTATCAAGTCTATTATTATTATTATTGGTATTATCACTATTATCTTTCTTATTATTGTTTCTTTTATTGTTTTATCTTCATCATCTTGATTATCATTATTATTATTATTATTATTATGGTTATTATCATAATTTTTATTGTTATTATCATCATCATCATTAACAGTGTCATGATTATCATTATTTTAACCTTTACTAGCATTTTCTTCATTCTTTTAACATCAAAATGCTCCTCTTAGAGTCATAGAATAGGAAAGTCGTAACGTTAAAAAAGGGAATAGTAAGAAACTAATGCCCTTATGCCCTAAATACGAAAGTTGTAAAGCTAAGAAAAAATATTATAGTAGTAATAAATTTATGATAACCTTATTAAGAAAGTCGTAGTTAAGATGAAAAAAATATATATATAATATAAATAAATAAAATAATAATACGTATATAATGGCCTCGCTGCGTGACTCACTGCCCGCTAATATACTTTTGCACAAGAGAGCCATCTTGCATAGCTTTTACTAGGGCCATTATGCCGGCAGTGAGTTGCCTGATATCAACACATCCAGATGCCATTCGCCGACCAAGGACCAAGGGGGGAGTGGGTGGGTTGGGGGGGGGGGGATTTTCTATCTCGTTTTATGACCTTGCCAATCCTGTAGGTCATTTCTCCCACTCTTTAAGGTCACAGATATGTATATGTTATGCTTTCTGGGTGGGTGTGTTGGTTGGTTTGTGTGTGTGTGAGGGGTGCGTGTGTGTTTGTGTGTGTGTGTGTGTGTGTGTGTGTGTGTGTGTGTGTGTGTGTGTGTGTGTGTGTGTGTGTGTGTGTGTGTGTGTGTGTGTGTGTGTGAGGGGTATGTGTGTGTGTGTGTGTTTATATGTGTGTGTTTGTAGGTTTGTGTATTTGCGTTTGTGTGTGTGAGTGAGTGTGTGTGTGTGTGTGTATGTATGTGTGTGTTTGTATGTGTGTGTGTGTTTGTGTGTGTGTGTGTGCGCGCGTTTGTGTGTGTGTGTGTGTGTTTGTTTGTGTGAGTGTTTGTGTGTGTGTTTGTATGTGTGTGTGTTTGTGTGTGTGTGTGTGTTTGTTTGTGAGTGTTTGTGTGTGTGTGTGATGTGTGTGTGTGTTTGTCTGTGTCTGTGTAAGCGTGTGTGTGTTTGTGTGTGTAAGAGGATGTGTGTCTGTGTGTGTGTTTATGTGTGTGTGTGATGTGTGAGTGTGTTTGTTTGTGTCTGTGTATACGTGTGTATATTTGTGTGTGTGTGAGAGGGGTTAAAGGTGCTTGTTTTTGTGTGTATATTATTTTGTGTTTACGTGTGTGTTCGCGCATGTTTGTATGTGCAGATCTGGATATACTTTCACTCGGTCGAATTCGTTTCTCAATATAACAGAGGTTTTTACGAGGACAAAGAATCTTTATCGTGACTGAAGGAAAATGATATCACAAAGGCCCATTATGATTATCATTTTCCATTACCTCCTAAGTGCATGAACTTCTATTCTTAAGTCTGAAATTTGTCCACATGAAAGTCAATTAGGA